CCCCTCTCTCTCTTTATCTCTCTCCACCTATCTATCTATCTATCTATCCATTTATCTATCTATCTATCAATCTATCTATCTATCTATCTACGATATCAAAGGTGTTTTTAAGGACTTGTCGATGGCGTCATTCTGGAGTCCAACTAGCACGTGCGTGTACACCGTACCCTACTTGAAAACTGCTCGGGCAGCGACCCAAGAACCGATTCACCCTACAGAACTCTGTGTCCGTGTGAGAGAGGACCCGACAAGTTCACATGGGCCATGCTTTTGTTCAATGTTTTGTATGTTTTATTGCAAAGGTCGACCAGTGCAAAAGGTCACTGTCATAATTATTTGTCTAACACGCCGGAGACGGAAACAGGAAACTACGTCATTGTATTTTTAGGGGCAACTGCACTTTGGAAAAGCCCATTTCGCATGCTGGAAAAGACACGACACCAGCAGTGGGTGGTTAGTTTCCGGCGTAATATAGAGTCTATTGAGCAGGTCAAATCGCCACTGAGGACAATGGGTCTGGTTTTTAGAGGACAAAATGGGAATATTTTTTTAAAAATGATTTCGTTATCGGTTTGTTGTTTTATTGTTGTTGTTGTTTCGTTTTGTTTTGTCTTTATTTTTGATGGAGGGTTTTGTTGTTGTTTGTTTGTTGTTGTTGTTGTTGTTGTTGTTGTTGTTTTTTGGTTTTTTAGGGGGGGGGTGTTGTTTTTATTGTTGTCGCTATAACTGACACTGCTGTTGGTGGTGGTGATGGTGAAGGCGATGGTGCTTAATTTGAAAGAAGAGTTGGTTCGATTCTTATCCCGTGTTAGGTAGTCTCCTATACTCTCTTTTTTTTACCTCCAAATACCTTTATTTGTTCTCGATTTTATAGGTTGTTCAATATATCTTATTTATAAAAAGAGGTGGGGGTGGGGGAGATATGGAAGTCAACAATGTTGTCCACGAAACCCATTTTCCTTCTCCTCCTCCGAACAAATTTTAATGAATATCTTAGAAAAAAAACATCAGTGAGGCATGCAGGACAATTCAAAATTCGAAGCAGTCGGCAGTGATTCAGTTTTTGGTAACAGCCCGTTCACTTTTGCAAATGGTTTTACTGTATATTATGACCTTGAACTTAAACTTGATCCGACATGATAGCATTGTACCGAGAGTTACAAGGTGGTTGTTGATCTATCTACTGTGAAAATATGCTAATTGGTTTCAAAATTTTCAACAGCTGTGATTCTTAATCTTGTAAGTGGTTAAAAGGTTCGTCTTTAGCTGAAAAAAAAACAATTTGTTTTAATAGAATGAGAAGGGCAAAACTTATGACAATTATCATTTGAAAGACAAGCTGGGAATACATGAAGTTTCCGTTGGGGCGTCAAAAGAAAAAGGAGTTACACAAATATTTAACTATAATCTATCTCAGGGCGCAGTTGAATGAAGAGTTGGTCGTGAGAGATAGAGAGAGAGTGAGAGAGATAGAGAGAGAGAGAGAGAGAGAGAGAGAGAGAGAGACAGACAGACAGACAGACAGACAGACAGACAGACAGACAGACAGAGAGAGGGGGGTTGGGGTGATGAGGGAAGTGGAGATGTAATTATGTTCACAGCTCTTTGTTTGCTGAGTGTTTATTTCATTTTTCTTTAAGGGGGTGGGGTGGTAACCAATCACCAATACTACATAGAATTTGATTTTGTGTACTTATATAATGACAATGACTTACTTATAATGACAATGACTTACTTATACTGACAATGACTTACTTATAATGACAATGACTTACTTATAATGACAATGATTTACTTATAATGACAATGACTTACTTATAATGACAATGATTTACTTATAATGACAATGACTTACTTATAATGACAATGACTTACTTATAATGACAATCACTGGCTTTTATGGAACTCTGTCCAACATTTGGTTGTGAACCTTACCGTCCTGAGAGATGTTGCCAAAACTGCCCAGGACACTGGTACTGTGTAGTAAGGCTGAAAATATACTACCTTGCACAACTGAAGTGCCCCGCAAATGTGCGCCGCCAAAAAAGTCGTGCCCTCCTCTTTATTTCCTATCGGGGATTTCACTGACACGACTAGACATGAGGAATTGTGAGGAACCAAACAGACGTGTGTGAGTGCAGCACTTCTTTTTCATGTGCCGACAGCCTCGCCCTGCTATTGGAGAGTTCCACGACGCCGTGGAGATAAAACAAAACAAAAAAGAGGGGGGGGGGGGGGGGGGGGGGGGGGGGAGGCAGGGGGGAGCCAACCACTCAGCTACGCCTGCTCAACGCCATTTCTTTTACTCAGTTGGACGGAGTCGCGCTGACCTATGGGCCATGGGATCACCACTTCCGAATTAGCGGCTTGTCCGTTTCGCGGCGCACTTCAGTTGTGCGTGGCAGTATATTTTCAGCCTAAGACAACATAGTCATGTGAAATCCATACGTTGTATTATGTAATGTCTGTGATAATGCTCAATAAATGTATAAATTTTACAAATGTACCTCTTTTATTGTTTTTCTGTTCTAAATACAAAGTAAAATGTATTATGTTTGAATGTTTTTTAGGATGAAAGTGGTACAATGTGTAGACAACTGATTACAGCTTGATTGATTTTTTTTTCTTTCAACCATTCGTCGATAGATTCTTTCATTGATTGAATGACTGACTGGTTCTATGACCTTTTGACTGATCGACTGATTTACTTTACTCAACCATGATAACCAGACACGTTCAAAACAGCCTCCCCCCCCCTCAACCCTTACGCATACACCTTTTCTACAAACACATTACTGCCTGCCTGGTCCGACAGTTTCTGCGCTAAAGCCGCGACCATGAAACTTCAGTTGTTCAGTTTTACGCCCACATCGACAAAATTAGATCTCTTGAGAGGCGGGCTGCTTCCACTTTGCCTGTTGGAGCCAATCTGGGCAGAGTGGGATTCTACTCATGGGTCATGACACGGTGGGATCAGGCGATCGTCAATTTTTGGTTGTAAGAAGTTATTGATAAAATCACAAGGCTATTGGGCAGAATGATGATTTTGGCAGAGATAGCAAATACATTTTTGAATTAATAATCACAGGCGATGAGGCGTGGGTTCTTCATGACTCAAGGCGCAAAGAGGGACTCAATGACATAGAATCATCCACCATCCACTTGCAGCCCAAAAAAAGAGAACCCCTCTCTTAA